AAGTTTTACTTCAAATATATGGCATGTGGGGTATGAAACGAAAGGTCTCGATGAGTACTATACAAATACTGCACTAAAAATTAAGAAACTAATGGACTTTTGGGAGAATGCAATTATTGTGTACTATTAATAGTACAGCCTGTCAAATATGAGTTAAAAAGTTTTACTTCAAATATAGGCATGTGGGGTATCAAATGAAAGGTATCGACGAGTACTAAAAAAAATAAGAAACTAACGCAGTTTTGGGAGAACGCAATGCAGTACTATCAATAGTAGCTTAGTTAATTTTTCACTGAGGATGACATAAAATCGTATGTCGAAACGTAGGCTGTATAGATTTTTAGAATTATTAACTTTCCGAAGGAGACATTAGGTTTGCCAAACAAAATCTGGTTTGTTAATTTTACTGTTTTCTCGATGTATTAAGTCATTCTGAATCGTCTGATACCGAAATTGGAAGAGTAAAAGCTACTTGTGTCTCTGAACTTAGTTCATTTTTCACTGAGGATGACATAAAATAATGTCGAAACGTAGGCTGATAAATTTTTAAAATTATTAACTTCTAGAAGGAGATTTGTTATTTCTAGATCTTATTTGTTAATTTTATAGTTTTCTCGATGTATTAAGTCATTCGGAATCGTTGACACCGAAATTGTAAAAATCGAACCAAAACTTGACCTTTCGTCGACGTTTTCTCAAAAACGACTGAACCGATTTGAAAAATTAAAAAAAAATATTATTAATTAAGTTTTTTTATGAAACTCCATAAGTACTCGTATTGATTAGTTTTATGAGACGATCAGCTGAGTCGTTTCTTTAAAATAAAAAAAAACAATTTTCCACAATCTTGAATCGAATTTGGAAAACCAAAAAAAATATTCAAAGGATATTCATATATAAAATCAAAATTTTTGGTTTAACAATCTTGAATCGATTTTGGAAAACCAAAAAAAATTCAAAGTATATTATATATATATATATATATATATATATATATATATATATTCAAAATTAAAAAAAAAAAAAAAAATTAAAAAAAATCAAATTCTTTCGACTAACAATCTTGAACCGATTTTGGAAATCAAAAAAAAAATATTCAAAGGATATTTATAAAATTTAAAATTAAAAAAAAATCAAAATTTAAAAAAGATTAAAATGTTTCGACATTTTGGAAATCCAAAAAAATATTCAAAAGATTTGGGAATCGTGCTGATTAGTTCTTGGTTGAGATAAGCCGTCTGATTCTTCGTAATTAAAAGCTAAAAAAATTCTTATTATTGATTTTAATAATTTTTTGCACAATGAAAAAATTAATGGGTTCAACAAATATTATAGGCCTACAAAAAGTTTTTCACTTATAAAAATTCTCTTAGAACATACACGTCGTAAATCTTCGTCAAAACGTAAAATTTTAACTCCACAGACACACACTGTTTTTCTTCAATTACAGTCTCAAACGATTCAAAATGACTTGAAACAAGAAAATTTGCAGATCGGATTTCCTGACTAGTACTCATTTAAAAAGTTAATTATTCACATTGATAATTGGTTAATTAATTCATTTTTTTTTCAGCAGGCTGCCGACGCCGCCGCCGCTGCTGCTTCAGCCCAAAAACCCCCAATAAGCACCCATGTGCTCGATACAGCCAAAGGAAAAGCTGTAGGCGGCTTACAGGTAAAAAAAAGAGTGCGCGTAAGGATCACACGCGATTGAAGTAAAACTTTTAATATTGTATGAGTAGGCAATTAAGATAAAAATAAAAAAAACATCATATTTCAATTTTAAAAATCATTTATTAATAATCACATAACATCAATAACACAGTTTAAAACAACATCGATAGATTAATTGCTATCATATTTCATATATGATATAATAGGTTTGTGATAACTAAAATGAGAGACATAAATTTTGCTTTGTAAACTATGTACATTTCTGGAGAAAACTGCATCAATAGTCGTGCCATATCTTGTGGTTGATTCAAATGGAGAATTATTCATTGTTAAATTAAATTTATTACTAAAAAAATCAATTAATAGTTGAGATTCTTCTGAACGAAAATTGACATTGAAATCTCCAGCAAGAATTAATGGTATCTCGTTGTGATTAGTGTTTAAAAGTTTTGCACTCTCATTAGACAAATGAAGTAACTGCCGATGAAGAAATTTAATGATATTTGATATGTTTTTATTGGGAGAAATTTAAAGGACGACTATAATTAATGTTTGATTCTGTGTGTGTAATATCACCTACTTGTGTAATTTCATTAGGAATATCCAGTAATATCGTTGACGCAAGAAACTGCATAGGAGTCGCATTATGAAGAGTATCTGAACATGAACGATAGACAGCTACACCACCTGCTCTTGAGTCTGATCGTTTGTATTGAGTAACGCAGTAATAGTTCTGAATATCAATTCGTTCTTCATTATTAATCCAAGTTTCCGAAAATAACAAAAACGTACAACGTTGTAGCACTTTATCAGGCAAATGAGCAGATCAGGCAAATGAGCGCGTAAACTTAGGCAGTTAAAGGAAAACAATGAAATGTCGTTCAAACTTATTATCTCACTCAATTTTTCTTCTTGTGTTATTAATCTACAAGTTGAAAGTCTTTGGAATTCAGTTTTTAAGTTCATTAATCCTGCTGGCCGTTTTCTACCATTATAAAATTTTTTGTCGTTGTTTTAGAAATGATGAACAATCCATAATGCTGGTAACTCGTGATAATGCAACATATAGAAGCTGCTGATTATGTGTTTTATTGTATTCATATACAATTTTATCAAAAGTACCACCTTGTGATTTGTGTATTGTGAGTGCACAAGCAGACACTAAAGGAAAATGATTTCTTTTGACAAATATGATTTTATTTCTATTCATTTGAATAGATGAAGATCTCCTGAGAATCGGCACAGCTGTCCTACTGATATTAAGAGTTTGAATATGATGTGCAGCTTTCTTCTTATTTTGTTACCTATCTCAAACCATAAACGTAGAAGTTCATCATTATCGCCACGTTCTATGTACACTAATTTTCCTACACAACCATTAGCTAAGCCATCACTTACATCAATATTAGTTGTTATAATGTAAAATTTATTCAGAACTAAAATTATTTCATACGGCAAAGCCCCGGTATCAATAACCGATTTTTGTGAAACTGCTGACGAATGTATGATTGTTGATCTGTCGCATGGCAACCTACACAAATATCCGTGGCAGTAGATATTATTTTGTCTTCAACGAGATTCAGTATAAATTTATTATATTCCATGACACATTTATTCTCTAAGAAAAGTCTTATTCCATGAGGACATAACATAAAAAACGTGATTCAATTAATGCAAGTTCATATAGGGTTTAGCGGGTTTAGCGCTCGACTTACGCATGACATGACGGGAGTGGATACTCGCGACATCAGCGCTTACGGCGTCGTAGTGTTCAACTTCACGTTGGCGTTTTCGTTGCATTTGTACGGATTTACACCCGTGTAGCCTAAAGAAATTTTTACACCCATATCGCGCCTAAAGAAGTTTTACTTCAAAAAAAATAATAAATAAATACGAGTCACGATGTGATGAAGGGTAATTTTGAATATCCCCAAAGGGTAGATGGGTTATAAAAATCCTTGAAAAATCGATCACGTGACTAATAGATTTAGTTTTTTTTTTATATATATTAACTGTAGCAGATACCCCACTGGGCGTATCTACTAATTTGCAAACAATCAATTGTAAACAACTTGTCAGCATTCTCTGCTAAATATAATTATTTTTATAGATTGCAGAATGAAAATAAAATAAAAAAAAAAAAACGTGACTAATAGATAATATTATTTTACCTAGGTGTCCCTCTACAAATTAGTCGATGGAAGATGGACATTCATCAACGAAGGAATGACAAACCCGGATGGCCGTTGTGCTGATTTAATGGAAAGAAGTAACTTTACAGCAGGTCGATATAAGTTGCATTTTGATGTCGATAAGTTTTTTGAACTTCGCAAACAAGAGACCTTATACCCATTTATTGAGGTAAATAATAGAATCTTTATTACAGTCTAAGTTATATTTATTATATACCTAAGTCTGTTTTTACACGGAGATTGGTTCCAGAAGAAGCCGTGTAAAAAAAAAACGTGTAAAAAAAGACATTGATCTTATACAAAAATGGGTGATTTGTTCCTAATCTCTAAAACCTATTAAAATTGGTGAAAAACAAGAATTTTCAAGAACAAGAATTCATGTTTATTTTAATAATAATTCCCCTAAATTAGTGCTATTCACATTTGCTTTGACCAGTAACAATTGTTTGTACGCACTATAAAGGAGAATTTACTTAAATCTTTAAGCTAGTGTTCGCAAACTATCGATACTATCGATGGTTTCAGACTTTTTTCTTTCATAAATACTTTTTTGTGATATCAACATACTTCGCAAAAATTAAATTTGACAAAAAAAATTTAGGTACATAAAATTTCAAATCGTGCTAAATGGAATAAAATCGCGTAAAAAAATTAAAAATATTCAATTTTCAAACCGTGTTATATCAAAACCGTGTACAAAAAGACCGTGTAAAAACAGACTTAGGTGTATTTTATTGTTAATTATATTTTTTGTTTCAGATTGTTTTCGATTGTCGTGCACCCCAAGAGCACTACCACATCCCACTTCTGCTCAGTCCATTCGGCTACACAACATACCGCGGAACATAAATTTTTATTTGGTAGATATATTTGTATATAAATATTTAAAAAAATTATCAATGCCTTGCATAACTTTGTTATTAATTTTTATAAATGATATAAATAATAAATATTGATTTAAGTATAAAAATGTGTTTATTATAACTTTATTAAATATAAATAATAGAATGTATGTAAGGATTAGAATTAAGATAGTTATTATATATTCTTAAAGAGCTTTGTTTGGGGTGAATTTAATAGCTTTTCGCACATTCTCATCAAGTGTATTAAGTGATGATACATACTGTATGCTTCCGAAAGGTGTCGCAGATGTTGGTGTTTTTGTCCAGAGTCTGGAACTTCTTCGGACTGGTGTGACGAAATAGGTTTTGTCTTCTTGCTCGTTCTTGTTTTTCCTGCAAGAAAAAAAAAAAATATTAAAAAACTATAGAAAAAAAGAGTGCACGTAAGGTTCACACGGGATTGAAGTAAAACTTATTTACTACTGTACAAGATGGCATTTAAGTAAAAATACATACATCATTAAAAAAATTTAAATAATGTTTATTAGCAATATGGTAACACTCGTGATGCACACATTTATTAGTGTCGTCAATCATTATACAAATTTATATAATGATAAGTTATAAATTATATATTCATGATAGCATTGAAAATATGTATAATATTTAAAAACAATAATGTAATTAAAGTCATACTTCAAATATGGCATGATCGGTTTGTCATTGTAATTAGCATTTATAAATGAACCTTTACTAGAGAAATGAATGATTGATAAATTCTATAATATTCTTTAACACAGTGGATTATGTTAAACAACGCCTAAACAAATATTGTTTTCGCAACTTCACTCAACATGTAATAATTGTGTTTGAAGAACTTCATGTAATTAAAATTAACATACATTCATTGACTGCTTGTATTTTTTTACTTTTTTGCTGGCGATATAATCTCATTCTTTGAACAGCTGTAATATGTCTTGTCTCAAAAATATTTTCCATTTTAATAACTTCAAAGATTTATAGAAACTACAAGTCCATTTTTTATTTTATTTTTAATTTTGCTCGTCAGTAGAGTCCCTTTTTTTGTTAGTTTTAGATTGCTCGTCAGTAGAGTCCATTTTTCTTTAATTTTTAATTTAATCATCAGTATAGTCACTTTGAATTTTATTTTTAGATTGCTCGTCAGTAGAATCCCTTTTTCTTTCATTTTCAATTTTGCTCGTCAATAGAGTCTATTTTTAATTTTATTTTTAGTATGCTGGTCAGAGTTCATTTTTCTTCAATATTTATTTTAATCTTCAGTAGAGTCTCTTTGAATTTTATTTTTATTTGGCTCGTCAGTAGAGTCCCATTTTCTTCCATTTTTAATTTAATTATCAGTAGAGTTTATTTTTCTTTTATTTTTAGTTTTGCTCGTCAGTAGAGTCCCTTTTTAATTTTATTTTTAGTATGATCGTCAGTAGAGTCCCTTTCAGTGTGCTCGTCAGTATAATCCCTTTTAACTTAAATTTTAATTTAATCATCAGTAGAGTCTCTTTGAATTTTATTTTTATTTTGCTCGTCAGTAGGAGTCCCCCGACTTTTTTAATTTTTAGTTTGGTTATCAGTAGAGTTTCTTTTTACTTACAAATAACATAGAAATAATTTCTAATCAATAAACTTACGTTTAGTACACGGCACAAACGTTTAATTTGTTTCATTATTTTTAAAGAACAGGGTAAAATATTCTTCTGATTCAAGCATTTTTCATTAAATCAAGATTTGTACTACGATGTAACTTTAAAATGTTTATTTATCTATGTCGATTTGTTTGTTGATATCGGTACGCATACAACGACAGATCTCTATTCACATACACGACGACTAATCACAATCGACTCTTATAGAAATGATATCATTTGAATGACGAATCATTAGCACTCGACTCTTGTCTTATCTGCCGTAACGCACTTCCGTCGCATTTGTACGGATTTACACCCTAAAGAAGTTTAACGTCAATAAATAACTCGTATATTGTTTTCAATTATAAACTTTTTACACAAAAATATTTATTCTGAAGTATTTCGTTGATTTATTATATTTTTTGTGAGTTTATTATTTAAATTTGTGTCTTATCTATTGAGGAAGAGCCAAATTGGAATTCGAAACGTATGAAATTCTATTAAAATTATAATTTAGTTCTCTTTCCAAATCCTTAAAAAAAAACGATAAAAACTTATTATTTTTATTACTTGATATCTCGTACGTTTCGACGCTGTATGTGTGTCATGAGATATCATATTTTCCTACATTTTTTTTTCTTTTTTAAGAAAATGTACATATAATCCATTCTTAGTATTTTTAATATTCTGTAATTATCATTATCAATATTGTTAATTTATGAAAAATCGTTCTTGACAAAAAAAAATGTTGATGGAGCGTAGCTAGTTCCGAAACGTTGTAATTAAACAAAGATCGTCGTTTGTTTTGAAGTAAAACTTCTTTAGGCGCGACTAGGGTGTAATCCGTACAAATGCAACAGAAGTCTGTTACGCCTGAACTGTTCGTCATTCGCTCTCGATGATATCATTTCAAAACGGGTCGATTGTGATTAGTCGTCGT